CTCTCTCTCTCTCTCTCTCTCTCTCTCTCTCTCTCTCTCTCTCTCTCTCTCTCTCTCTCTCTCTCTCTCTCTCTCTCTCTCTCTCTCTCTCCATGCACACACACAAACATGCATTGTATGACTTCATATTTTTGCTTTCCAAAGTCTAGTAGGAAAGGAAAACATGGGTTCTATTTATGCATTCAATTCCATTTGCCTTGGGAAAAATAGTTGGACCTCACATGGCCATCCTATTCCCATTCCAAACTCACATGTGGTCCATCCTTCACATAATTGGGAATTTAAATCCCATCAGGGAAGGAGGATGAATTACATTAATACCACTGGTCCCAAGAAATAAAATAAAATGGAAATGCAAGTCTGTTAATTAAATTAGTTGACAGGGTTTGGATTTCATCCCTTAAAAATCTAATCCCCATCTCCTTTAACATGCATCCCCCGACAACGTTGGCTCCTATTTTATTTTTCTGAATTTTCAGTTCAAATCATCAACAAATTTAAGTTGGAAAAACCTAATTTGGATTGAAATTTTAACCTATGCTCTTGTATCTCTTCAAAAGTTGCAACATACTGTTGAGTAACTATTTAAGTGAGTGAATTCTGAAAATCTATGTGATGAATTTGAAATGTGGTGGAATTTATGCCCTTTTTCAATGTTTTCACTTGGCCAAAAAAGTTCAAAGATTTACTACCAAAAGTATTTTGAAAAACTCGGAGTTAAACGGATTTCAAAAAAATCGTAACTTTTTTGAAAAAAAACATGTTTAAAACAGAGACTTACTAACTATGAGTCTAAGTAATACCATGTCCCCGAATTGTTGAACAATTATGGGGTAAGGGTCTCTATCATGTTCCCTCATGTGAGAAGAAAAAACTACATCTCTCTTTCTCTCTACAAACGAGAAAACGAATTTCTAACTGACTATCCATAAAAAAAATTCTCTATGCAACGTAGAAAACAAATTTCTAACTTGCTATACATTCAAAGACAATAAGACAGGACATGAAATGAAGAAAGCTCCAAAAGAGAAAAGTCCATGCAAAAAGAAAATAATATTTAAAATTTGAATTTATCAATGCAAAAGCGAAGTATTTTATAATCCCATTGATCCAAATGGGAGTCCTTCCTCCCTCAGGAGAAGGAAGGCTGTCTTTTTCTATTGAAACCACATTTTGTCTCATAATTTCCCAAATAAATTTATGTGCCTTAGTTAGTGTAGTGAAAAATGATTAGAAGTATCTCCACTTAATAAATTAAAGAAGTACGAAGCATTAAAAATCAAAAACAAAACTTGGGGTCATTAATTTCTATTCATTTAAATGGGCCAGAAGCTGATTCCCACGTGCAACACAGGCTTCTGTCAGTTGGTTTTTGGGACATTGACCATGCTTCTTAGAAGGTTTCAGTCTTGATAAATTCACAAAATTTCAGTGAAATTTCGGCATCTCTTGGGCCCTCACCTGCTGGCCTAACAAAGAGAAAATGACATGGTGTGCCTATCTCACAGATTTATTGTCTGAAAAATTTCCTGAGATATTGATGGCATTTTTCTGATCTCATAAATATTATGGGGAAATTAATTGCCTTTGGACATTATCTTTCCTCTTCATTATTGTACATATGCATTGATTAGAGTCATGTGATTTTGTTCAAAGTGTGTTAAAATCTCAAAATCATGGAATCTCTTCTTAAAACTTCAATGAATTTCCTTTTTGGTTTCTTAGACGTACTGTAACTTTGTTGAGTTCCGCTAAAGGTTTCTTTGTTGACTTCTACTAAAGGTTTCAAAAACATGACAACTACTTTGAAATAAGTTAGGATTCTCTGCAAAGAGATCATTTACCGTTTGTATAAGGAAGTCACAATCATTCTTGTTCTTTAGATTTTAAAATAGGCCGTTGTAAGAGTTTCATTGATTAGATACAAAGTTCCAAAAAAAAAATTCCAGGCTTCGTAACTCACCCCAAGTCATTCAACTTGAAATCTAATGAGTAGGAATAGTTGTGACATCTTTATACAAAAAGCAAATGGTCTCTTTGTAAACAATCCCAAAGAAGTTAATTCAACTTGAAATCTAATGAGTAGGAATAGTTGTGACATCTTTATACAAAAAGCAAATGGTCTCTTTGTAAACAATCCCAAAGAAGTTAAGCCAATTCAAGAAACTTGTTTCATAAACTGCCCTATGGCTTACTCCAATGGGACCTCACTATACTTTCTCAGGTAAAAGGCCTACTTTGTGTCGAATTACGACACTTTGTGTGAGCTGATTCGAGGCCCCATCCATGCAACACTTGTCCCAAAGTACTGGATGATAGAGGAGCGACAAGGGAATCGGGATTTTGGGCCCCTCCCTTTTCAAACCTAAGGGACTCAGCTGGCAATAAGAGACTATGGATTTGGAACAAAAATATGAATTATATAACGATTCAAACCCCAAGCAGTTTTATGATATTTTGGATGCATTTTAGAATCACCAAAAGAGCATTTAGAAAATCAAGGATTTTGAGTTTCTAAATACTTAGATCATCATCATCCAAGCTTTATACCAATTATTTGGGGTAGGTAATATGAATCTTGTTTCTTCATTCTTCTCTATCAAGGGTCATTACCCTCAATAAGATAAAAAGTCACTATATTTTTTCGCACAACTTATGTCCATGTCCTATTGGTCCTTCCCCTTACCTTTTTAGCTCCTTCTTCTTGAACCAAACCACACATCCAAACCAATCTTGTATTATTTGTATGCTGCACGTGGCCAACACAACTAAGCCTACTTTCTCTTATCTTATCACCTATTGAAGTCATACCTAAGTTCTCTCATATGTATTCATTTTGAGTTTTATCATTTCTTGTCTTACCACTCATCCATTTTAACATCCTCATCTCAACTATGCTCATCCTATGGATATATTATTTTTTGGCCAATCAACGTTCTGTCACATAAGCATGGCTTGTCTTCCAGTCTTCCTATAGAACTTCCCCTTCAATATCAATGGTATATGCGGCAATCATATAAAACTCCTGATGCACATCTCTACTTTTCTTACCCAATTCTAATTCTATGTGCAACATCTTCCTCAATCTCTTAATTTTCTTAGATTATCAACCCTAGATATTGAAAACAATCACTTTTAGGTATTTCTTGACCATCAAATCTTAACTACTTCTTCGTTTTTACTCATATTATTACTAAACCTGCATTTAATACATTCTGCTTTAAATTCTAGAGCATCCCTTCACCGTTCTAATTTTGTGTTTACGTCATCTCTAGCATCATTGATCAAAACTCTGTTGTCCGCGAACAATACACACAAGAACAAAGAGATATGGGGCCAACATTGACCCTTGATGTACGTCCATTGTCATTGAGAACTCACTTTTCTCTCCACTAGTTGTCCATACACTGGTTAACGCTCCCTCATAAATATTTCTCACTATGTCAATATAGCAGATGGTGACTCATTTCTTTTTTAACACCCACCAAATTAAATTTCATGTTATCTTATCATATATTGTCTCTAAATCAGTAAATACCATATGGAGGTCATTTCACTTCGTTCTAAACTTCTCAATCAATTGACTTGCTCAACCACTCTCTCCCACAACTTCATAGTGTGACTCTGAAGTTTAATCCCTCTATAATTCGTACAATTCTTTATGTATTTTTTTATTTTTGTAAATAAATACTGCAATATTTTTTTAAAATACTTAGATTTGTCGTTAAATAATAATAATAGGACGGTCGTTGATAAATCTTAAGACACGGTCTTTGTTAAATCTTAGACACTATCTTTTAGGGGCATTTACGTGAGAATAGTTTTTTAATTTATTTTAAGCTTGTCGTTGATTGCTAGGTTGACAAGTTTACATCCCAAAATTTGTGATCCTGAAAATACTCATGGAGAGAGTTTCACACAAGGGAATATATACCCCCAAGAGCCTATAAACATTTGAGCTTAAATTAAATAATCTTTTGAGTTATGGGATGGAGTCCTGGACAACACCTATGCCTTATGAAAGGTCTGAAGTCTGAACCTTCATGCAATTATTCATGGGCCACTGGCACCTTCACCAATAACTCCCCCACAAAGCAGCCCTTTCTCTCTCACACACACATACAGCATCCCCTTCCATCTCTCTCACTCTCACACATAAAAGTTCCTTCTCGCTCACACACACAGCAGCCCCTTCTCTCTCTCACACACACAATCTCTCTCTCTCTCTCTCTCTCTCTCACACACACAACTACTACTACACACACACACAACAACTACTACTACACACACACACACACACAATACTACTACTCTCTCTCTCACACACACACACAACTACTCTCTCTCTCTCTCACACACACACACAACTACTCTCTCTCTCACACACACACACACAAACTCTCTCTCTCTCACACACACACACACAAAGTCACACACACTAGACACACCACATTAATGGAAGAACTCAATAATCTATGGTCGGAAAGACTACAACGTCCTCTCTCTCTCTCGCCACCCAGCTCGCTAAGTGTACGAGCATTTAATGGGGCCTCAAATCATATCACCCTACATTGAACCAATCTCCACCGTCCATATCCAAAGTGCACGTCCATACCTGACCCATCCGAAACAATTTGGACGGTCTGGATTGCGACCTCCTTGAAACCGTCAGCTAACAATCTCGGCCGTTCGAGCGCCACGCGTCACTGCACCGTATAAGGCGGAAGAAATAATGCAGGAGTGTCACGCCGTTAGTTACGAAGGGGGCTCTTCAACTACTCTTGGCCGTCCAGATCAATCTCAACCGTGGTGATGAACTTACATTCATTTGTGGCTCTATGTTAAGCGAATCTTGGCCGTCCAGATCAATCTCAACCGTGGTGATGAACTTACATTCATTTGTGGCTCTATGTTAAGCGAATCTTGGCCGTTAATATCCATCCCCGCACTAGATGAAAGTCAAAGGGTGATAAAGAGGGAGAGATGATACTATATATATTTATTGTATAATAAGACTAGAGAGAGATGATACTATATGTATTTATTGTATAATACGACTATAGAGAGAGATGATACTATAGATTGATTATATAATAATAAAACTAGAGAGAGATGGAAGGCATAGTATATACTTATTAAT